ATATGATTATTGAAAATAAGAGCTGATCTGGCCATATTAAAAGGAAAACTTCAGTTCAGTCCTTTTGTTATAGTAGTAGAATAAGACCAAAATATTGTGCAATTGGAGGTTTTGCGTAACACCTGCTATAACTTGTTACCCTATCTGCCAAAAGGCAAAGACTAGCCTACTTGGCTGAACGAGTGTAGTCTCTTTCTAGCACGCTTTTGATTTGCAAACAATTAATTTGCAAAGCAGGGCTTATTTGCTTTTGACAATCTCACGCCTGTGTTTCAGTTGTCACTTGATCTCTTTCTTCAATTGCACTGAAATTATGATATACAAATGAACGTTACAAAACTCTTGAACCACCCATCAATAACTGGTAATGCTTGTAAAGTATTTTTAGATTGATGCATGTTTGCTATTGTTTTTTAAAGTTGTGAGATAGTTTTTTCTCCCTTTTCTAAACATACATTTCTTCAATTTGCTTTGAAATTCATTTCTTAGCAACTACTCTCTATTCTAATTGCATCAATTCCTGTTACCCAAATTTGCTTTTCTTTTCAGATTTACAACGTTACTGGAGACAGAAGCCCTGAAGTAAAGTTGACCAAAATATATGGAAAGCCATCTTCAGATTCCTAAAGTTGAGATGTAACTGATTGCTTTCTGTCTCAGGATATAACCAGAGGTATACACTGTTGACTAAATTAGTGTCATAATTCCATGAAATTCTTTGTAGTGGAGGTTGCTATGTCATATAAAACTTACATCAGATACTATCTCTCTTAATAAAATAGAGCATAAAGAAAAGGTAATGAAGATTTTTTTGTAATGAAACAAGATGCTGAAATAATATATTTTATTATTATATTCTACCCATCCTATTTCAATGGTGTCTGCACTTAATTTAATATGTTGCAGGATGAAATGAGATTAGTTTATGTTTGCTATTTTATAAAGTTAGAGGAGTAAAACGAGACAGGCATATGATTCCACTTCTTTAAAAGAATTAGATTTTAAAAATGTCACTGCACCCACCACTGTGTTTATGTATAGAGCTGAAAAAGAAGGCATGAGCTACAAACTGCTTTAGGAAGAAATCTGTGGTACATGGAGATTTCAGATTTGGTAGAATTCCTAGAAAACTCTTTTCAAAATAACAGGTTAAAAACCTGAATTTTCTGTGAATTTGTATCTTACTCCAAAATTTTCTTCTTTACAAAAATACCCTCCTTGCTTTCTTGCAGTTTGCAGATAAATCACAGAATCATACAGAACCACAGAATCATTAAGGTTGGAAGAGACCTCTAAGATCATCAAGTTCAATCATCAATCTAACACCACTGTGCCCACTAAACCGTGTCCCAAAGTGCCATGTCCACATGCTTCTTGAACACCTCCAGGGATGGTGACTCCCTGGGCAGCCTGTTCCAGTGTTTGACCACTCTTTCAGTAAAGAAATTTTTCCTAATATCCAGTCTGCACTACCCCTGGTGCAACTTGAGGCTGTTCCTCTGGTCCTATCACCAGCTACATGGAAGAGACCAACACCCACCTCCCTCTACCCTTCTTTCAGGTAGCTGTGAGAGTGAGAAGGTCTCCTCTCAGTCTCCTCTTTTCCAAACTAAACAATCCCAACTCCCTCAGCCACTCCTCGTAAGACTTGTGCTAGAGACCCTTCACCAGCTTTGCTGCCCTTTTCTGGACACGCTCCAATGCCTTTATATCCTTTCTGTAGTGAGGGGCCCAAAACTGCACACAGCAGGTTTGGCCTCACCAGTGCTGAGTACAGGGGAAGGATCACTTCCCAACTCCTGCTGGCCACACTATTTCTGATCCAAGCCAGGATGTCATTGGCCTTCTTGGCCACCTGGGCACATTGCTGGCTCATGTTCAGTTGCTGTCAAGCAGCACCCCCAGGTACTTTTCTGCTTGGCAGCTTTCCAGCCACTCATCCCCAAGCCTGTTGCATTGCATGGGGTTGCTGTGACCCAAGTGCAGGACCCAGTATTTAGCCTTGTTAAACCTCATATGATTGGCCTCAGCCCATTGATCCAGCCTATCTCAAGTCCCTCTGCAGAGCCTTCCTACCCTTGAGCAGAGCAACACCCCCACCCAGTTTGGTGTCATCTGCATCAGGCCAACACCTGTCCATTAAGTAGCATGTTTTTAGGCCTCTTTTTAATGGAGTTCTGGAAAACTTTGGAGATGTCTAAAAATGTAGCCATCTTCTCATGTGCAGCATGGAGGGCTTGTAGTCTCTGAAGTTTATGGTCTGTTCAGATCTCTCTTGTCCTGATATTTAGCCTCATGAGTAGAAGTTTATTCTTTAGATAGCAAAGACTTCAGATTTTCTCTTCTGGATCTGAACTTCAAAGGTTCAGATCACTTCACTTCTGCTTCCAGGTAAAAAAAATAACAGAGGTAGAAAGCTCTGGGAAAAGATCTGATGAAGGTGATCTCTACATTTATGATGAATGAGAGACGCGGAGAGCAGAGAGAAAGCATGAATGAAAAGGGTCTGTTCAACCAAGAGAGAAACAAGGAATGTACGTAAATCTTCAAATGTATGGAAGACTTCACCAAAGACTAAGGGAATAAATTCTTCATGTCTGTAATGATCTGGGAAGAAATATTAGGAAAAATTTGTTAAGAATAGTGAAGTAACCAGACTGCCTTGGGTTGGCACAGAAGGTCCATCATTAGGTGTGTTTCCAAAAAGTTAAACAATATCTTCTCCTATGAATAGCTGATCCTGTCTTAGAGTACTAAATACAGGAGTGGACCTTCAAAGCCCCTTTTACTTCCTATCTAAGTTTTTAGATGGGCTTTCTAACAAAGAAAATTTCCTAGGATTTTGCTCTCAGCCTGTCTAATTCCCTTAACAAGTTATATAATAAAACATTAGAAAGCTTTAAAATATCTAACAATTCCCTTACCACTTACTAAGTTGTCACTCAGAAAGAAATGAAAAATAAAGCTTTGCTGGCATTGCTGCTCAGGGTTTTTTGTTTTGTTTTGGTGTGGTTTGGTTTTTATGGGGGTGTGTGTTGGTGGTGGTTTTTTACATTTTGGTGTTCTGTGTAATCAATAATGCACTCAGTCAACTTGTTTTCACCTCACTGTCAATTTCTTTCTAAGCCTAGCCTGTGATATGAATCAAACAGGGACTGTATAGCTTCCCTCTTGGGTCAGCTCTCATTTTGAATGGTATCAATTAGCCTTTTAAATATTATCATTGTTATTGTCTATTAAAATTAGTCCTTATTAAACTGGTTATCTAAAAATAAATGCTTAAGATAGTTCATCTTCTTGAATATTACAATTCTTCAATATTCGGTGTTGTGAACTCATTCACTTCAATACAAATTTCTGTGTGTTTGGGCAGTTTCAAAAAAATCAGTCCAGCTGCTTATGTAAAGTATGATGGTCAAGCTGCATCTTTTGCCACAGGAAGTCCCTAAACTGTTAATGATTGTTCAAAAGACTTTTTCATCAATCGTAGCTTGTATTTTAAGCCACTTTACCATGCATACATCTTTAATGCTACATGCATTTTGGTAGTGACCAAAGATCTAGCCTTTTTGTTTTACTGATATTTCATCACTCCACTTTCTGCAGGGGAAACATCCAGAACGGAAAGAGTTTAATGTAGAGCATATATACTAACATAGATGCTTTCCAAATAATCTACATTTTAAAATATCCACCTTCCTGATTTGTCTACTTTTGGCTTTCAGGCAAAATTTCCAGCTAGTAACTACTTGAATCTGTTATAAGCTTAGTGAAGGCAGATGGGTTTTTCTAAAACCTATGTGCCAATAAAAGTCTGAGAAGGATACCTAAGTTTCCTATTAAAGTGTTGCATATTTAAATGTTTTCTGAACTGCAGAATATCAACATGGATAGAAATAATAAGCTTGTACATAAAAAGTAGTCTAACAAAAGCTTTCAACACTAACTTTGAGAATGATATTTTCATAAAGGTAGTAGCTTTAATGTAGAACAGGTGGGAATGATGTTCTAAAGAGAAATCCAAGTTGTGTGGTATTTCACAAAAATAAACTATGGAAATGTGTCCTTTATGAGTTCCAAGTGTACTGACATCCTTCCTTAAGAAAACCCTTCTCAGAAAATTCCGTGTACAAATATCTATGAGTTTTCTTAATTTAGGTGGCTTGATCTATTTCCTAATGGGTTTTCATGTCTTCTTATAGCTAAGATTCCAGAGCGAATCAGTAAGCTTAAAAAATAATGGAATGTTCTATTACTCTTGTAGACATGAGTTATATTTTAGGAAGCTTCAGTTTTTAAGTTGTATTTTGAGATAACCAAGTGTTTAAAATGAGATATCCCAAATTCACCTGGATCATTTGAAAATTAGTTGTTTACTAGAAGTATGGTATTCTGTTTGAGCTATTATGATTTAGAGTTGTGAAGATAATACAACACTATTCCATCCTATTACTTTTAATTTATTTGATTAAAAAAAAACCAACAAAACAACAAACCACCAGAATAATCTTGTAGGACTTGTAGTCTCCAGAGGAGTAAATCTTGTGGACATGGTACCTTGAGACAAAGCCAGTGAGTTATTTACCTGTCATTTTTCTTTCCTAAAATGTCTCTGAACCTTGCTCCTGCATAAGAAATTCCTGCAATATCTCATTCTCTTTATCTTTTGATTCTACAGGTAACTATGTGTGACTACAGGTAACTATGTCTGAAGCACTGCCAGTCTGTGGGTCCCTGAAGTAGCCCTCCACAAATCTTGAGGTGTGAGGAAGCCCCTACATAATCCAAAACTGGAAACAGAATCAGGAAGGGAATTCCATTCATACCATATTTGTAGGTGTTTTTTTATCTTTTCACAGGTGAGGTGAGTCAATAATTACTTTCTATGTATTTCTGTGTTTACCCAATTAATGGCGTGTAGCTAACAAAAGCACAATTCAAACCTTGGAATTCAAACCACAGAATTCAGACTTCCTTCTGACTGGGTATTCTCTAAACTATTTGTCCAGAGAAAGGTTTTATTATGAAAGTTGGATATATTTAATCTGTAATCACATTCTTTCTGCGTTTTTTTCTCTTTCATTACAAGTTATCTGATCAATCAACAGGGTTCATATCTTCATAGATTTTCTTGTGAAGCATGAGGCAATTTGTAGTTAAATCACTAACATTTATGCAACTGCAGTGGGTTAGAACTTCTGTTTCTGGAAGAGCTCCTTTAGCTGTTGTTCACTTGTTGCTTCTTTCTGTTGCATCAGCTCCCTGGTTCCTTTGGTCACTCCCCAGCCATCTGGCTTTGACATTGAAGGACAATATGGCCTGCCTGAAGCAGGCTTCAGATTCTCCCAGTATTCTTTTCTTGCCCTAAAGAAAGAAAAGGAAACTTAAAGAGTTTTCTAGCACCTCACAATACTAAGGAACATGTGGCTTAAATCAAAGGGTCATCTAACTTGCATAGGCTGACTTTATATTGACATACAAGAGCATGAAGGAAAGCATGCAATGATATGCTACATGCTTAAAAAGTTTATTTTCATCCTTGAAAGAAACAGTGTAAGCCACTCACCATTAGGAACTGTTTTACAGCAGTCTGTCAGTTTTTTTATCTTAACTTCCATGAATTACTTTTACATTAATTCAGACCAAATCTTCATTTTTAAGAGGGATGAGAATTTCTGGAGCTCTCCTACTGCCCCTTCACCCCTTTCCCTGCTCCCAGATGAGCTTTAATTCTTCAAAATTATTAAAACATAGGATGTTTGCAGTGGTAGTTAGACCTCCATATCAGTTAAGCCAGTCTGCTGCATCGACTGCTATAACCCTTTGCAAGAAGTATGTTGGTATGCTTTCCAGTTCAGATACACATACCTTGCTCTGACCCAGGGTTTGGTATGCATGCTCAGGCTATCACCCCAGCTACCATGTTTCTCAGAAGCTTCTGGCAAAAATCCTCTTTCAGGACCTAGCTCCTCAGCTATTGCTCGGACATGATATGGCTCAAATCCACAGCAACCTCCAATGTAACGAATTCCTAAGTCATAGGCCTTCCTTGCATATTTTTGAATATCCCATCTGGTTACAATTCTTGGCTCCAGACCTGCAAAAAAATTAATATTTTAAGTTTCCATCACACTCTATTTCAGCACATTTTTTGGTAAGAAATTATGTTGTTGAGACACTTGCACGTTGTTTATGAAACTAGTTGTAGATGTAGATATACATCTTTGATCTGAACTAGAATTAATGATGCAAACTTTCAGAAGTCTAGCTTTCAGATTCTGCTATGCTCTTGTAAGTGTTTCTGGCCTTGCAAAACAGCACCTAGTATCTTCTGAGGCTGATCAAGCCCTAAGTAACATGCTTGCCATTCTCCCAGAGTTCTTACCTGGAGTACTTTAAATCATATGCCTGCATTTCCAAAGAGTTCCTAATTAGGAATCAGTATCTGGGAAACCTGATTACAGTACTCTAATTTGTGAAAGAAAAAGGTATCAGCCTACCTGCAAAAGGAATAAGCCTGCTCATTATTCCTCAGGAACGCTTACTACACTTTTTTCCATGATCAGCTAGTGGCAGACAGTTGTGGAAAATGGACTGAGAGACACCCTGAGGAGAAGAACTTGGGGGTGTTGGTTGACAAGAAGCTTAAAATGACCTGGCAAGGTACACTCACATCCTAGAAAGCCAAAGACATCGTGGGCTGCATCAAAAGAAGTGTGGCCAGCAGGTCGAGGGAGGTGATTCTGCCCCTCTATTCCATTCTCATGAGACTCCACCTGGAGTCCTGGATCCAGTTCTGGGGCCCCCAACATAAGGGCATCAAGCTGCTGAAGAAGATCCACAGGAAGGCCACAAAGAAGATCAAAGGTCTTGGAGCACCTGCCCTATGAGCACAGGCTGAGGGAGTTGGGGTTGTTCAGTCTGGAGAAGAAAAAGCTCCAGGGAGACCTTATAGCAGCCTTCCAGTACTGAAGGGGGCCTAAGAGGAAAGATAGGGATGAATTCTTTATCTGGGAGTGTAGTAATAGGATGGGGGGGGGTAACCTTTTAAAGTGAAAGAGGGTAGATTTAGTTTAGGTATTAGGAAGAAATTCTTTACCATGAGGGTGGTGAGGCACTGGAACAGGTTGCCCAGGGAAGTTGTGGATGCCCCCTCCCTGGAAGTGTTCAAAGCCAGTTTGGATGTAGCTTTGAGCAGCCTGGTCTAGTGGGAGGTGTCCTTGCAGAGGGGGTTGGAATCAGCTGACCTTTAAGGTCCCTTCCAACCCAAACCATTCTGTGGTTCTGTGAATCAGTCCTTGGGCTTCAGGAGTAGAAGGACAGCAACAACCTGTCCTCTCTGAAGAGGCAGGGATAGACTCCGCCATAAGAACCAGCTACACATGTGGTGAAGCGTGGTGACTGAAATCAAGCAGTATTCTATGAAAAGAAGTTGCCACTTAAGTCATATTTGGTGGGATTTTTCCCTTCCCAAAATTGACTAACATGCTATTTGCCATAACTGTCAAGGGACTTCTTTTCTTGGCTGTATTCAGAATTAAATACCTATATCTTAAGTTTATATTAACATGTGCAGTAAAAAAGAGATTGAAATTGTCTCCATTTTTTTTAATGAGAAGGTTGTAACCTGCTCCTAGATTAGCCCCTCTAGATATCTACTCTTAACGAGAGATAACAAGGTACGCTTTGACTGACCAGGACATTTCTTTCTAAAAAATTGTCCTTGCTCAACAGGTCACATTTTAGAACAATTGCAGCAACACAGAAGGGAAAACATAGAAAACTGGAAAAAGTTCTACAGATAAATAAATACTGCTAGCATCTAGATGCCAGAGCTTGCCAACATGACATAGCCAATGCTTTTCTAGAAACTGGGATCCTGTTGGCCTGTACAGAGGTTATGTGCACTTCAAGTATCTAAATACATCTTTGTGTATATTGCCTTCCACAAAAACCAGAGTTAACTGGGTGAGTTCAAAAATTATATACCAAACTGCTTATCTGCCATCAAGTGATCAGTTGCTCCTTCTGTGTATTGAAAACACTCACAGAACCTTCTCAAATTGACTCATGAAAATTCTGAAAGCTGAACTCTCATACAGATTGCTTAAAACACACCAGCCAAGAACCATAACAAACCAAAGAGTGAATCCTTCAATTCACTTGATTACTTACTGTATCCATTCTATCTTTTTTTGCTTGCAATCAAGGAAGTTATAGAAAGGAATGAATCGGATAAATGAGTTCCTAAAACTTTGAAACATTCTAGAATATTTTCAGAACTCAGACATGTTATTATAATTTAATGAATGCCTCAGACTCATGCTTTATTTTTTGCTACAAATTCAAGTTTCGAATGTTTTAATACCTTATTTTATAGTTCGATCTTGAAAAGCAGAATGTATGATACCTGAAAATGAAAGCATTTTTCTAATCAATTTAAAGATGTTTAGGCTGATTTTGTCATCTTAAAGGGATATGATCTTCTACATCACAAGTGGAAATAAGCCCTAAATACACAAGCCTTATATACACAAAGAATTTCTCCTGAGCACACGTGATGGATTCATCTCCAAACTGCTAATCCATTTGTTGGCAACATCAAAGAACATACTCGCTCCTCTGCTTTCTCTCTAATCTCACTTATATTAGACAGTTACACTTGCAAGGCTGAACCATTATGAATGCAATAATCATGCACCTATATCCAGTTCTGCATATGCATTTTACATTAAATCCCTATGTAGGTAAGCATTATAGGTTTTTAAGATAGATGTCACAACTCAGAAAAGTGTGAGGCTCCAATGCAAAAGCAATTAAGTCTGGGTTTCGGGTTTTTTTTAGTGTATTTGCTCTTGTTCATTTCTTTGGACTGCTTACAGCCATTCTTAACAAGATTCTATAGCATGAGGAAGAACTACATTTTTTAACTAACTTTAACTGTTTTCATCATAATTTCACATTCAGTCACACGCTGTGATACTACTGAAATACTCTCACTATATGGATGATCTTTAATCCAGTATTACACTGCAAATCCCTCTATGAAAAATGCAGGATTATTGGGACTGATCCTGTTGTATAGAAAGACACCTTGCAGCTTCAGCTTTACTAGAAGTTGGGGGGAAAAAGGAACAGACAACTGAAAATTAAAAAAATAAAATAAAATTTAAAAAAAGAAATATATATGTATGTATGTATGTATGTATGTATGTATATACACCCTTGTCTTACCAAAAGGAAACTCTGGAAGATCGATAAAACCCTGTTTTCCACAATCAGGTGTATGGAAAGCAAGTGGTTGGGACATCAGATGAGCTTTCAGTTTCGCAGCCTGCAAGCCCTCTTTCATCAGTTTCACAGTTTGCAGGCAAGTATCTGGATCAAAGTGGCAATTGACCCCAACAATAGAAGCACCTATGAGGAGAAAAATAACTTCAAGTCACATCTCTCCAGGAAGTGGGAGGTGAAAGTTCTTAGCTGCAGTGAGCTGAAAACAAGAAACCATCTCAGCAGCTGAATGCCAAGTGAAGTTTTTATTTTCCACCTCTACTTTTATAGCTACAGCTAAGGACCTGACTATGCAGCCAGTCAGGATGTTCACATACTACAGCACTTTCCCATCCATCATTTCCCATACTTTATGGCCAGGTGTTCCAAGACTGAGATATCCTGCCACACACCACGCATACCGTTCAGCCAGTGGTTGAGATAACCCAGGCACACAGTGCTTTGTGTAGCTTTGAACTCCTACTTTTAGGCTTGTCCAAGGTCCTGTTATACTTAATAATAACAGAGTTTAGTCTTTTAAAGATTGCCTTGTATAAATCCCAGCTGCTATTTATTCTCTTAGTAATGTTCTCATGGGAATCCCAGCTTCTGCAGTGCCTTGGCTTGCAGCCTTTTGATGTTTCTCCACATTTAGCCACAGCACTCTAGAAGCAGAGTAGTCCATCTTCACAGCAGCATTATGAAAATAGGGCAGATGGGTTAGAGCCAGCCTCAACTCTGAGGTTCATAATTCCATTTACATCTCAGTTGCACTCCTCTTACCTTCCTGATGATTAGTCACATCTCCCACCCTCATACAGTTGCTTTTCTTATCAGTGCTTAATCAACCAAGACTGGTTATGTACAGCTGTATGAACCTGCTAGCTATTTGCGTAACACAAGTTCTGCCTTTGGATTTCAATTCTAACTCCAAAAGAAAAGAGTAGTTTGGAATAGATACAATAAACAACTGTGCCATTATTTATTATGCCCTTGATTCATTTCTTCTGCCTTTCCCCTTGTTCTGCAGAAAACACAGCCTTCAATAAGCAAAATTATTAATTTTTTCAACCTCTTACTCTTTCATCCTGGATTGGAACTGTGCTCCACACATTTCTAAAAGCATGAGCAGAGAATCAAAGGTGGCTTTGGATTCTGCTTATAAGTTTCATAATTGTGAGCCCAGAATTTGGGGTTGGCTCTGTAACCAAATTTGAGTTTAGGATTTTGCTCTGTTCCTTAACAGCAGCCTGTGGCTACTGCTACCAACACTACCCTGGTTAACAAGGATTTCATAGCTGCATTTCCATGTTTTTTTTACAAGGCTGGTCTACCAAAGTTCACATAAAAGCTTTTCAACAGGGTCAAAACTTTTATCAGATATAATTGGGAAGCTACCTACTTGAGATACACATACATTTATCTCAACATTTAAAGACTTTACTTTGTTTCATACTTTTAAAGGGCATATTAAGACCAGATTCTTACCAGCCTTTACCAGTTGTACAGCACACTCTCCAGGGGGTACACCATGCATGTCTCCTTCTGGACCAATGCACATTGTAGCTGCAACTGGCTTCCCAGATTCTTTCAGAACTTCAACTGCCCAGACAGCCTCTTCAACATGTTCAAAATACTGAAAGAAATTAAAACTGGACTAGTTTCATGTCTTGGAGAAGAAGCATTAATCCATGCAGCAAATTCACCAGCAATACAATGACTTGATTATTTTCTGATTTACATTAACAGAATTCAATTGAGTTCACTGACCACATAGTTAAAACAGAAGTTTAAAAAGTCAGTAAGTAAAACTAAATAAAAAATAACAATACTCTTGTTTCAGAATAAGAATGCCCATGTAGGAGGTTAACCAAGGATTTATCCCCAAAGAACTATTTTAATCTAGAAAAGTAAGCTTAGGTTGATTGCATGTAACTTAGTCAAGTTTACATTAATCTATCCTCTTTGTACCAGTACAGAATTTGACTTGACTGAGGTAGAAATTTAGTTTTCAAAGTCATGTTCTTGGATGCTTGCAGATGCTGCTGTGCATTTAGAAAACTACCTGGTATTACTGGAATAAAAGCATAACAGAAAATTTTGAACAAGGAAGAAATATATACTTGTACTTCCTAAAGCAGATTAAACATCTTAAAGTTAACACTGTGCCAGTTGAAGACATGTACTGTTTTACCTCTGCATATTTACAGATTTACCTCTGCAATTAGGAAGTCCACATTCTTCTTCATAAAGATATCCAGTTGCTTTTGAAAGACTGCTTTAACCTCTGCTTTATCCTTGCAGCTCAAGTATGATGGTGTTTGACTGACTCCTCCAGCCACTAAAGCATCACCATCATTAGCCACTTCTCTTGCAATGTCACAAGCAGCTTCATTCACTTTCTGGCACTGCATGAATACAGATTATGTCAGTTTTACCTAGTCAGAGATATGCATGTAATTTCAGAGCACAAAAAGGACAGAAAGAGTCAAAATAATGGCTTCTTCATGTTCTTTTATAATTTAAATGGATTTTTAAATAATATTGATTAGGAAGATCAGCATCTTTCAAAAAAGTAACAAACATTAGGAAACCAATTTCTTGCCATCTCTAAGTTATCATATTATCAAATAGTACATAACCATACTACCTTTAATACATCTTCAACAAATAGTCTATAAAAAGCAAGTATTTGGTAGGAAGTGGAACTCTTTGCCTTTTAGAAAATGAGTTAGTTACACTTAAGTGTATGCTTTTATTCTGACATTCTGTGGGTGAAAAAATATGTAGCCATTTTAATTTATTTTTAATGTATTTTAGTATTTTGATAATTTTTAAAATGTAAGATACAAAATAACTCATATAGAGTTATTTATGGCATTTAAAAAAAATCATTAATGAACTGATGTCATAGTTACCAATTTCAGAATAGTAAAGGGAAACTTAGCACTCTATGGGATTAATCAATCACCTAGACTGGAAGACACATTCCTTCTATACGTAAATCAAGATGAGTAGAACAGCTGGTGAAAGGGGTTAAGCTGGGAAAAAAAGATTTTGGGAAAAGAATCATTATTTGGGATAGATAACGTGTACTGATTAGAGCAGGTTTCTCTGCAGCCTGTGGACTACTTAGGATCTACACAGGTTTCTCTCAGCTGAAGTTTTCCATGGCTGCCTCAAAAGACCCAATTGATTTTTAAGGCTCTTGCTGGCAGATTGTCATCCATTTGCACTCGTGCTCAGGTACATCTTAGGGAACTCTGGGAGGTGGAGCCATAAACTAGTTAAGGCCTGGAGGAACCTGCTTCTAGAACTGGCAGCAAATCAATCCTGAAAGTTTTGCTGCAATGCATTTCCAATACCACATGTTCTTTCAGCCCTTTGTATAATTTTGTGGGCAGCAAGAGTTGCAGCATGGCTTGTTCCAGGGGCACTGTGTTTCTGGGACTACTCCTTCAAACATTTCAGTTTTGCATCTCTTGAATGTAAAGGTAGAGCATTTCAGATAAATTTGATCATATGACATTTTGGTATGACCTCTTAATTAAGTCTCTAAGTGTTTCCTTAGTGTCCAGATTGTTCTAATTTCTGACTTGGGATATCTTCACAGATACAAACATATTCATTCCTCCCTGCCTCCTGGAGAATACTCTCTAATTTTGCAGAGGTTGAAATAGACAATAGAATGTAAGGTGAAAGGATCAGAGAAAACAATGGCAAATCTTCTCATCTCAAAGGAACTATCTAGAAATGTTTATGCCAGAAGTCACAACGGGGCTGTGGCCTGCATCTAGTGAACACAGCCAACATCCTACAACTCCCTTGTCTAGGGGGAAAGAAAAACACCAACATGGTATTTCTGTTGCTGTAACAGATTACCCTTACACATGAGAAGGTTAATATTGACCACAGTATATGGCCTAGATTTTTTAGTTGTTATTTAATTGAAGATATGATTCTAAAAAACATATCATTCTCATTAGCCACTCTGGGATTCCTCACCATTTTTGCAGTTGATTTGTTTCTCTGGATGTTAAAGCTTTTTTTTTTTTTTTCCTCCAACTGATTTTGCTCTCTGTGCATTTAGTCTTCCCTAAGTTCTTTGTATCAAAACTTCAGTAAACTAACCTCCTCGGAAAAAATAAAAGGTAGGATTCCTCCTTCTCTCTTCATCCTTACACCATTTGTTACTTTTTTGTCCTTTAACTTTGTCTTTCTTGCTATTCCAAACTCTGAAATCGCATAATCTCATTCTTTGGTCCTCAAATATAACCAAAACCATTATGACAAACTAAGAAAGTATTCTATAATATCTCTACTAAACCTCTTGAAATGAATCCTTTTATTTTATATTTCCATCAAAATGGAGTTTTACTCACACTTATTTTCTCAGCTACATAATTGCCCCTGTTCTCTAGTTTGTCCTCACTGGCATAAAAGGTGAATGTCTGCAGAACATTGGATCCAGCTCTAAGGAATTCCCGGTGAAGCTGACGAACTGCAAAGAATTAAACGAGACAAAGAAGAGGTGTTTGGTACAATTATTACTGTTGTTATCTTAAAATTAACTATTTATTGAAGTAATGTTACTGTAAAATAAGTGATAGTGTTTACTAGAAAAGCTATCACAAGAGAGTAGAAGCAGTACCCCAGTCTGCACCTAATTCCTTTCTCCTCACTCTCAGAATTTTAGGTAGAAAGCCTTAGTTATCCTTAGTTATTCTCTGCTAAGAATGACTGAAGATTTCTATTTAGTTTATGCGTAGATTCAGTTTTGCGTGTCACCTACCCTATCTTCTACTTTCTGCAGTGCTACAGACCTCCCAGTTTCACTTTATAGAACTGCATAGTGGTTTAGGAAAGCAAAGCAGACATCTGACAAAAGAACAGGAAAGCCTAACAAGGAATACCAGACAAAAATATCAACAAATGAAAAAGCTGTATTTTTTTATTTAGATCTCATTTTTAAATTTCTCACTCTGGCAGTACTTCTCTGGTAATGGAGACAGTGGCCTTGAACTCACTTTTTTTTCCTCATTCCTTGCTGCATTCTCAGAACCTCCCTCCTTTTCCTTCCTTCCTTCCTTACAAAGACAAGAAAGTCTGGTAGTTCTACTGGTTTTACACCAGCTGGCTCAGCCAGTTGCTCCTTCTGTTCTTTACACCTGCTTTCAAAGTAACATGATGCTTGAGCATGCAGGAGCAAAAAGCAGTAATAGAGAGAAGGCAGCACACTGCACTAAAAGAAATGAACACATTTCCAGTGAAGAGCATATTTATAAATAACCTATAAGGGGCCTATAAAAGTTTTGTAACTACGTTACAGACATAAGCAATACATTCTAGCAAATCAGTAGCAATTCTCAGAAGGCTGGATTCTAACCTATGACTACTGATCACTTGCTTAAAGCAAATCTGTGTGCCAATTTAAGTCATCTGCAACTGCCTTTATGTAAGGCAATGTCTTGCATTCCCTATGCACCAAGACCTGCACTTCCCAAAAGGACATGTGGAGATGGTCAAGGGCTTTTGAGGTGCAAAATAAGTAAGCAAAGGGAAAATAAAGAGCATGGTATAAGTGCTATGTTTTGTAAGATGGAATGTGTAGAGGTCATCACCCTTCAAGCCTTTGCTGGAGCTCTGCATTACCTAAGGCTGTCTGTGACCCTAAGTTAGGCATGCTACACACAAAGAGACACTTGAAGGCTGAAAAGGATTAGATTGAATAAACAGGTAAGCTGTACAAATCAATTTTGTTGATCTCTCTCCTTCTTCCCCCTGTATAAGAGAAAAGGACTGATTTGGAAGGGCAAACACTTAAAACAGAATTTTTTTATCCCCCCCCCCCCCCC